AAAACCAATGAAAGCCTGAAAGCAGACACTTACAGCATATATATATGCCTGACCAGGAGACGGCGCCATAGTGCAGAATAAGACTAGCACCGATACGCCCAGCTGCGCCCCAACATACACCATCCTGAATTAGGCTGGGCCCCTGATGAGGGCAATCAAGACCTGCATACAGACGCATGATTTTACAATCTTCAACATTTTCAGTGTGACAATTCAAAAAGAATTTAGACAAAAGTATACAAGAGACAGTTCAATCTCTTCAATACATGAATCCCTTTTTATATACAGATTTATTTAACTTTAAAATAGTCCTAACTGTTGACTTACAAATCGATTCTAAGAAAGCACAACTCATGATTAATAATTTCTCCCCTCAAGACGTAGTCATGATTATCAACGGTTTTGTACATGGCCTGCAGACTGGTGAGCAATGGCTGATCTGTCATGTGCTAACACCAAAAAAATCTGTAATTATGAATGATTTCATAATCATGCAGTGACATACTAATAAGCTTCTAAAGATCCAATGAAACCGAAGTAGCCACATATCTTTTCTTTCATATTTGTGACTTACATCTGAGTGTAGCAGATTATCAAAAAAAAAATGTAGGGCGGGAGTTGGCTATCTGCTGGTTGTTGATTGCCTTGTGAAATGTGGGCGGGACACTCATCTTGCAGTTTTAAAAATAAATAAATAAATAAATAAAAATTCTGTTAATAATTACACACCCTCATGTTGTTCCAAAACCTTAAGACCTTTATTTATCTTTGGAAAACAAATTAAGATTTTTTGTTTTATTAAATCCGAGAGCATTCTGACCCTGCATAGACAGCAATGTAACTACCACGTTCAAGGCCCAGAAAGATAGTAAGAACATTGTTAAAATAGTCCAGTGACTTTTTTCAACAAAATAAAAAAAAACAAAGAAATTATAAGTCATAAATATTAGTACTATAATTTTACAGCTGAAATGTAAAACAGGATTATTGTTATATTATTTTTAAATAGTATTTTATATTTATAAAATATTTTGAAGAATTGAGGTAACCAAACAGTTGATGACAGCCATTGACCAGAGTATTTTTTTTCATACTATGTAAGTCAATGGCTAACGTCAAGTGTTTGGTTACCCACATTCTTCAAAATATATTCTGCGTTCAGAACAACTCCAGGGTGAGTAAATGATGACAGAATTTTCTTTTTTTGGTAAACTATTACTTAAAGGGTTAGTTCACCCAAAAATGAACATTCTGTCATTAATTACTCACCCTCATGTCGTTCCAAACCTGTTAGACCTTCGTTCATCTTCGGAACACAAATTAAGATATTTTTGATGGAATCTGAGAGCTCTCAGACCCTCCAGCGCTCTTTCTACTGAACATAAACAACGCTCATTACGTTGATTACGTTCTCGTGTACTCTCCAAAATGGCGGAAGACGGTAACTCGGGGAGAAGAACTGCTGAATAAATTACGTTATTATTGTTTTCTTTGCGCACAAAAAGTATTTTCGTAGCTTCGTAAAATTACGGCTGAACCCCTGATGTCACATGGACTATTTTACCGATGTCCTTGCTACGTTTCTGTGCGTTGATCGTGTTAATTACATTGCTGTCTATGGGAGGGTAAGAGAGCGCTCAGATTTAATCAAAAATATCATAATTTGTGTTCCGAAGATGAACGAAAGTCTTACGGGTTTGGAACGACATGACATGAGGGTGAGTAATTAATGACAAAATTGTCTTTTTTGGGTGAACTAACCCAAAAAAGAGGCGAGCTTCTTTAAAATGAACCACTTTTAATATGAATGCATCAAATCAAGTCATTCTGAGAATTCCAGTTTACTCATCTTTCCAATAAATAATTAACCCTGACCATAAAATGTACTGAGCACATTCAGCGATTTCAAGTGGTACTAAACTGGGAAACTGCTGTTTACATGAGTCATCAACAACCTATAAGGAAGTAAAACTACTTGAGAAAAGTCTGTCTAGTCCAAATTGTGTTAACCTCGATCAAGCAGAACACTTTTATTGGGTTTATTTCATAAACTCTCCCTGTAGCGAATTGGTGAAATGACAAAAAGAGCATTAATTTCAAGAAAAACTAAACAATAGATAACACATGCATCAGAAGGTGTGTCTAAAAGTCAACAACGTGTTTTGTAGATTTGCAAATGGGAAGTTTTGGTTCCTTATTATCATGGCCAGATCAAATGCTGAGACTTTCTAAACAGGAACTGTGTAATTATCACTTTAAACTAGTCTTGGCCTACTTATAATAGGGTCATGAAAAGAAGAATCAAAATGTTCTTGATATTTACACATAGAAGAGGCTACTCTGCAATAAAAAAAAACATACTGCAAGTTTCAGAACTCAAAACTAACTCTCAATATTAATTATTGTTTGAAATATGGTAGAATCGTGATGTCACAAATTTTAGATATTGTTCTGTCTGTTAGTGGATGTAAAGATCTCCAGGAAACCTATATAGATTCCCTAAAGATCTGAGCATTAGAAATGCAGGGCTGGAGTTGATCTTTAATGACGCACATGAGCGACTGAAAGATAATATTTAGTTTGTTCTTCACATTTCACAACGGTCGTTTACTGTCACTGTCTTTTAAGAAATATGTTAACAGTTATGTTTATACTGTTTTGCATTGCAAATGATTGTGTTGTTTCAGTTTTTTCTGACTCGCGCTCAAACATTCACAGCTCTATCACAGTGCTTGCCATCTCAAGCATCAAAACACACAACATGCTGTAAAGGAGGCCGTGGAAACTGTGAAATAAATACAATTAGCCAATCACAGCAATGCATGCTGTGGTTTCAAGGTAATGCCCCATCAAACTGAGCGTTTTCCACAGAGTGATAACGAGGATGGAAAATGATAATTTTTTACAAATATTGGACCTTTTTTGGTGAAAAAAAAACTTTTGCTAAATAAACTAACCTCCAGAAACATAATATAAAAAAGCCTGAAACTGCATTTAATGACCACTTTAACCTCAGCCTGAGAAACAGATTAAACTGCAAAGCACTATGCTTAACAACTGATTTACATGTTCTTGAATACAGGGTTATGAGGACGCACGTCTTAATAACATGGGTATTACAACATAAACATGGTTTATGACAACCCTTACTGTGTCCTTGTAAAACAAAAGGCTTAAAAACCATACTAAGTGGTGTTTTTTAAAATTAACATTGCCAGTAGTTTTGTGTGAACATAACCAACATCGGTCCTGGAGAGCCACTGTGACAGTCCTGCAGTTTTGATCCAGCGTTGATAAAAACTCACCTTTAGTAACCCTTACACCTTGATTAGCTGGTTCAGGTGTACCTGAATAGGGTTGGAGTGAAACTCTGCAAGACTGGCTTTTCAGGACCAATGTTGGCCAACCCTGGTTTAGGGTAGGGGGATAGAAAATACAGTTTGTACAGTATAAAAACCCTTACGCCTAGTATGGAGAATCCCCATAAATCATATGGACAAGTATGTGTGTGTATTTTAGCCAAGTTTCTACAGAAAACAACAAGAAAGGATGCATATTTCCCAGCTATGATTCTGTCACTGTAAACATTCAGTCTGTCGATATTGTCAAGAGATACAATTCAACAGGACAGGTTAGTCTAGTATTCGGCCATTTGGAGATTATTGTCACCAGCCAATAACTAAGAGCTCTTAGCCAATTAAGAATAGTAGTATTTCATTTACATGTAAGTTTGCTATATAATCATGATAAATCATTAGATGCTTAGTACTTCAAAAATAACACATGTGCGAAGAACATGGTCATTTTCTATTAGTGTTACTGTTGACTGCCGCTTTCAAGTTCTCTTAGGAACTTCGTGTATTGTGTGTGTGCATGTGACGCATTGTTGTTATTCATTATTCTAGATTTCTCCCCAAACATGGAACTAAAATTTTTGTTTACAAAATGAAGGGCAAAGGATGCGCATTGGGTATGACATTACTGCTGATTTGCGTATTTTACCGCCAAACCCTAGATAATTCTAGGAAATAGAAAAACAAGATTGTACTTTTTTCGTTATGTATGGACAATACACAGACTTTACAACAACCAACAATTGCTATTTTTAAGCCCACTTCTATAGCTAATTCTTTACTGACACAGACAACCACACAACAAATCAGGCCTAAACAAAATCCCCAAACTCCTCACTGGTGACTACGATAATGAACGAAATACAATCATTCATCAGAAATTGATCATCCCCGCCTTGAAGGCTGCTACTTCCCGATCCCTGTTGTCTCATGGAAGATAATATTTCCGAAAACCCTAATTATATCCCAAGTGTACAAACAATTCAAATTAAACAATGGCAATGAGTCAGTTGAAATGTCTGTAATTCTTTACTCACTGTACAAGCGACTGCCAGCTAACGTTAGCTGGCTTATCACTCGTATTCCAGCAAATGTCTCCCAGTCGCGTCTTCTCTTTGACTCAGCTAAAATCGTTGTAACAAGGCGTTTTTCTCCCAAAAATGCTTTCTCGAAGCTTACATCTCATGGATCCGTGTCGGTTTCTCGAGGAACTGGCCTGATTCGCCCCTTGGTGGAACTACGATCACACGTTTGTTTACAATTCTGCAAGGCCAACGGGAAGTGCGAGAACTGCAATTATCGCGAGATATGTTCGAGTTTCCCAAAGGTTCGTGGATCCATCTGGAGATTCATGAAGGAACTGCAGGGGCTGATGGCTAAGGCGAAACTTATTAAAATAAACTGAAAAATAAATGTACAAATGTTTTTTAATAGGATAAGATTTAAAATTAAAATAAATGTAATATAACAAGTTGATAAAAATTAAATATATAAACAGAAATAAGTGTTTTGAATTATCGTAGGGAAAAAAATTATAAAATAAAATAGGGCATGGGTTAAACATTGCAATAAATGTTTATAAATATATATATATATATATATAATAAATAAATGTTAAAAAAACTATAAAAAATTCTGACACTGAAATCTATGACACCACACAATTTTATTTGTTTGATCCATCTAGTCCATATACACAAGGACATAATGATTCACAGCTCAGAATGATAAGCCGGCGTAAATGGACAAAATATGTTAGCTATGGATGAGATGATATATATGCTTATTAGAACTAAAAACCATCTGCATACAACACCTGTACATAAAAGGTACAAGGAGCACTTAAAATGGTCCTCAACCAAATTTAAACAAAGCAAATAAACAGTAACGAGAAACAACTACTAGTTTAAGGACATACTGCTTAATGACTTAAAAGGAACATTAAAACAGCCATGGAGTCAAACATACCTACCACAGTTATATCAAGGCAATAAATATGACTGTTTTAAGCAATTTATGCAAATGAAAGCTATTCTAAGACCAAATGTGACTTTACTTTAAAAAGAGCCATTATATCACCATGCCAAACTACAAAGGAATTTTCAATATTAAACACCACGTTTCTGTTTATTCTAATAATGAAGTCTAAAAACACATTATTTGGGACAGTAATATAGAGGTGAAAGCATTTTAGGACAGTACGGTTATCCTGCGGCAGTTTTAAACTGCCTTTATGTGCATGACAATTCATCTTTATCAAACCCTGCTGTTCATGTAAAACATTGTTATAGGAGTAAAATACTGTTCAATCACTCTTCTGTTCTGCATAACAACTGATCATATACACACACCGCTCTCACACACTGCTGCCGCTGCCAGTGGCTTCCTCCTCACCTTTCTTCAGTCTTTTTTTGGCTCTGATCTCGTTCATGGCTTCCTCAATGGAGCGAGTGTCTCTCTTATTGGCCACAGGGACTGTAACAACAACACAACAAACATGATTCGAAAAATCAAAGGCAAAAGCTGCGTCCTCCGGAGGTCGCATTTGTTGGCCGCATAGAAAGAAATTACAGTATTTTACACCTCACGAGGAATAACGGCCAATTTTACTACCATTACTTTTCTTAAATGTGACCCTGGACCACAAAACCAGTCTTAAGTGTCAATTTTTCAACATTGAGATTTATACATCATCTAAAAGCTGAATAAATAATTTTCCATTGATGTATGGTTTAGGACAAAATTTGGTCGAGATACAACTATTTGAATATCTGGTATCTGAGGGTGCAAAAAAATCTAAATATTGAGAAAATCGCCTTTAAAGTTGTCCAAATGAAGTCCTTAGCAATGCATATTACTAATCAAAAATTAAGTTTTGATATATTTACAGTAGGAAATTTACAAAATATCTTCAAGGAACATGATCTTTACTTAATAACCTAATGATTTTTGGCATAAAAGAAAAATCTATAATTTTGAACTTGAGTCATAACTTCTTTTTTTTTTCCCAGATCCCATTTTTTTCTTTTAAAAGTGTGACGTGACATGTGGCCAAGTATGGTGACCCATACTCGGAATTAGTGCTCCTCAGTCGTGGTATTGAAGGTGGGAGAGAGCGCTGTACATTCACTCCCCCCACCTACATCACTATCCTGTTGCAAAAAGTAAAGCTTTTTTCCTTTGGTGTTTTTCCTGTTTGACTTTATAGTCCTTTATGCTACTAAATATGTATGCCTTTGTTCATTTAATCAGTTTTAGGGGATACAATCTGGACGATTGATCCCCCCTTCCCCCGCATGATTCAGATTTGAAGTGTTTTTACGTGTGCAGTTCCTTTAATTATACTCACCACAGCCATATGTCCGGTTGGCTTGAAGCGTGTGGGCGGCATCTTTAGCAGCAGATGTTCCAATCAGATGGCTGTATTTGTCTCTGTAGTTTGAATTGGGTGACGCAGGCCTCTTCTGAGTGCGACTGGCCTTTTCCATCTCCAGTGCAGCCTGTTCCTGAAGAGTGCAGTGAAACAAATACCCAACTTAAATATGGTGTTCCAAGTAGTAAAATAAAAGATATCCAATTAGGCAGACATGAACCAACAGAAAGCTCTCCTAGATTATGAAATGACTTTCTCTCCTTATCTTACTTCTTTAAGGTTTTGAACAGGTTCTTGCACAGCATTCAGGATCTTACCTTTAGCCGACGTCTCTCCTCGGCTTTCTGCGGGTCCCACTCCTCACCCTTCCGATAAGCCTCCAGTTCTTCATCTGATGGCGCAAACTCCTTCATAACAAAACACACACTCAATCAAACACACTAAGCATTAATGCAGAGAACACCACAGGCCAGAGGAGAACTGGTCCTCTAAATGAGTCTGGCTTCTCCTGTTGTTTTTCCTCTTTTTCTTGGATCACCTTTTGGCTTGCTCAGTTGGGGTTTAAAAGACCACTGATACGTAGTAACATTATCTATTTGACTACTCTCATGAACGCGCGTCAAAGACTGATGCGGGAGAGAAGAAATTGTTGAATAAAGTCGTTATTTTGGTTTCTTTGCGCACAAAAAGTATTCTCGTAACTTCATAAAATTAAGGTTGAACCACTTTTGTCACATGGACTATTTTAACAATGTCCTTGCTAACTTTCTGGGCCTTGAATGTGGTAGCAGCGTTGCTGTCTCTACAGGGTCAGAAAGCTCTTGGATTTCATAAAAAATATCTTAATTTGTGTTCCAAAGATGAACAAAGGTCTTACGGGTTTGGAACGACATGAGGGTGAGTAATTAATGACAGAATTTTCATTTTTGGGTGAACTATCCCTTTAAGTATATATCTAATAACTACAAAGAATCAACACTGAGCTGAATAATGACCCTACTGTCTTCCGTAAAGCTGCTTGTAGCTGAATTTTAAGTCATTTCATAATTGTTGCATTTTGCAAAATTAACATGGTTATTGTGCTGTTTATTACTGCCAAGCTGCTTTGGAACAATCTGTATTATATAAAGTGCTATATAAATAAATAAGACAACAGAATGAAAACGTTTCATTATACAGAATACTAAACACAAGGAAACACGTTTACAAAGATCCTTGTGAGAGGTAATTGCACAATACATACTAACCTTTTTAAACAGCATGACATATCTGCCCTCTTCATCCTCACCGAAAGAAAATGATGATAGTCCAGCCACCTCAGCCACATCATGCCTAAGAGAGATGGAAGCGCTTAGCATGAACTGTATGCTACGCAGGAAAACAGGTAGACCTGCCTAAAACTCATGCCACTGGTTAAACCAGTAGTTGAAAGAGAGCAGTGGCATACTTATAGTCAGGGGTGCACATACGTTTTTCAGCCTGGTTCTCATAAGAGAACTTGGAGATTTGGTTTGGTCCTCACAACATAGTGTGACCCATTAAATATAACTATAAAAAATAAATTAATAATAGTGCTAATATTGTTGCACTTTATTTAGTTCGTTTTTTTTTTTTTATAAAATAATAAACAAAATAAAGTGTGATAATACTATTATATTTTAAAGTAAAAAGAGAGTATTAAATACAAATACAATTATTTTATTTTATTGTAAACTTAAAAATAAAATGCTAATATTTACTTTTTTTTTTTTTTATCTATGAATTTTCATCATTTTCAACCTTAAAATCAGCAGGCTTTTATTTTGGCGGGTTGCCGGCAAGTAAGTAGAGCGAAATAGGATTAATCAGGAGAATTTAGGAATGTGTTTATATATATATATATAAATAAATAAATAAATAAATATGTATATTAGTTGCTTATTAGTGCTCCACACTCCAGTCCAGTTGGTGGCGGTAAATGCACCAGAAGTTGGTTTGCCATCCGCCATAAAACGTTATTAGAAGATAGTAAGTAGAGCGTCAGTGACTGAAATGTCACAGTTTTGCACTGTGCCTTGAAAACGGCAGCGGGTCGCTTAGATTTATGCTTTCAATTTGAATAGAAATCTTATACAGTACAGTTTGTCGATCTAAAATGGTAATTGTGCATTAACAGCTGTCATCCATGTCGGTAGGCAAATGCGCTGTCAGAACTTATTTATACAGCGCATTTTTTATTTTGGTCGCGCATGCGGACCACTTATGTGCACCCCTGCTTATAGTAATCTTTTCATTTTAAACTAGAATAGCAGTATGTATTAAAATAAATAAATAAACATATTCTAACATTAATTACATTGCACTTTTGTAAACCACAGCTGATAATGGTATTCTGGAGAACATCAAATTTAACCTAAACCCAGATAGACATTGAACTTGACAATCTGAAATCTCTCTCATATAAGACGGTGTTGAACTCACAATATGCTTCTCTCGATCTTGCCCATTGGGTCATATTTCTTCTTCTTCAGTGTGCTGTCCTGAATGAACTCGGACACCTCCTTCTCCATCTAATGGAAAACCACAGATTTTCAGAAACAAAAGCTCACTATGTCATAAGATCATGTTTATGCGGGACAAATAAAGTCATAAGTTATACCTTTTTCCTAAACTCTGCTTTCTTTCTCTTCTCATCCTCCTCCATCTTCTTCAGTCTGGCAGCTTGTTCTGCACAGTGACAGTAAGAGCAGGAGAGGAATCAGAATAGACAATAAAATAACAAAAATGTCTTAAGTGCCACATGTATGTGAACTGTCGGTGGAAAAATTCAATAAATACATTAGCAAACGACATTGATTATGACAATGCTGTTGCTGCAGTAAAGCTCAGCTATTATTGCATGACAGGCATCTGGGTGTAGCTTCCTCCTGTTTTTCCTCATTTCGAAAGTCATTTGCATAAAAGCATGTGTGCTTCAACACAAAGCACGGCCTATTCATGAAGCAATTTAATAAATTACATGTATAAAAAGAGATAAACTAACTATGACGTCTAGAGGCGTTTCAACGGCAAACGTGCAGAAACATGACGTATGTACTTGCATCTATCGTTTCTCAGGCGGTGATTGGCTCTTTTTATTACAGCGTTAGTGTCGCAGAGGGCACTCGGATATTTCTCAAGTTTCACTTGGAAACCTACAAGCACGCCCAGGTTCATTTTCCGGACTGTAAGGAAGTGTATTTGTAGGATTAAAACTTTCTACCTCTAGCTTTCCGTCGGCTTTCTTGGTCGTGAACGGTTGGAGGCTTTTCCATCGAGCTCAAGATCGAGCCCAGGAGGTCCGCCATCTTTGGACTGTCTAATTTTCACCGGAAGCTCGCTGCATGGCATGCTGCATTCTTTAAATGGCATTATGGGTAATGTCGTCCAACCACAGGTTTTCACAATGACGCTAGCTGTATTTTGATTGGTTTGATCTTTAGATATTATGTCATATGATCGACATTGAAGCGTCTGAATCTAAATAAATGCCGGTGTACGATTATCAAAGAGCAGTGTCTTTGCATAGAAGTGCAAATGTTTGCCACGTTTTATTACCACGCAGGAATCTATCGTGTTGATTCTTAAAGCATTATATTAGCGCTTTACATCAACTCAATGTAGATTAATAATTGCTAATTAATACCACGTTATGCATATTAATAATTGTGTGATTCCCATTCAGCAGTATTTTCGTTTATTCTGTAATTGTCTTCTGCTCATTTATTCACATTTTAGAAATTACATTTCTCAGTGGAATATTTGTAAAAGTAATATCTGATCAATTATCACCTTGTTACTTCTTTCTGGTGCATGTCATATGTAGAACCATTGTTTTAAATGTTAAAACCTGAAATCCACCAGTACAACTACAACTGTTATGAACTAATTAAGAGTTAAAACGGTTTCATTTAATGGACTAGTTTTATTCAGACTGCATAATTTGTTTGTTGTTTCTGCATAGCAAGCAAATGAGAAACAACACAATGGTCAGTCTTTTAATTCTTTACTTGATGAAAGTTACAATAGCAGGATTTTTAAAAAGTTGGGCTGTTTGTTTGATACTGCTCTTCATTAAAAACAAAAAATACTATGCCTTACATACTAGGAAGAAAATATCAAGTTGTGTCTAGTTTCGTAGCTCCTCAGACCAGAAAATGAATTCTCAAATACCTCATTATATCATTAAATACATCACAACAAGCTATATGGTGTGGTAGTGGCCTTTACACACCACATTATCTTTATTACAACACAATTTCCAGTTAATTGTGCTCAACGTTAGCAAACATCACCAAATGTTCACTGCAAAGCAGTCCTTTATGTTAGGACATAGGGTGGATTGGGATCATAGGTATTTTGCTCACCATGTTGTGCATGTTGGTAAGAATCAGAATTATTATGAAATAAAGAGAAAACCTTTTATGATTTCACTCAGAATACAGGTTCAGCGTCTTCCTCACAACTACTTCTGTTGACAGGTCAGTACAGCTGTTGACCGTTAAGGAGGAAACATTTGTGTGGAAGGTGGGGGTTACATAAATATCATTTAAAACTAAAAGAGGGATATTGACTGGTGTGAACAATCCCTTCATTCAATTCAATTTATAGTTTAGCTAGTCAGTCTGTGTACGTAATATAAGAGTCCGAATTGTCTTCACAGTCACCACCACAGCAAAGGGTCACAACCCAGTTGGTAAAGTGGTTCTGTTACCAACCATCAAAAAACAGAAACTATACTGGTAAACTGGATGTGGGAGAGAAACACAATGTGGAAACATGGCCTGTGCTGTCCACCGATGACCTTCAGGGCAAATCTAGGAGTCAAGGAAATAGATCTTGTAGAATTTGTTCATCTGCTCCAGGAAGATGAAGGTGAGAACTGTGTGGGGCCCGAGACGAGCGTAATAAGGAGTAAACCCCTTCCACAGACTGAAGAATCCTTCCTTCCTTATGACCTTCACCAATACATCCTACACAAAGAGAAAGAGAGAGTGAAAACGAACGAGAGGGAGGGTGGATGTGTCAAAGACATGGAAAAAGAACAGAAAGGGTGGTCTCTACCAAGTGTCATGCTGCTGCACTGCAGTGAATTCCACTGTAAAGTGAGCAGGGATGGACCGACCATACAAAGCAGTGGGACACCCGGTTATATACAAGGTTTTTAAAAGTAAAGTTCTGACATAAGGTCCATTTGAGCTACAGAGGTGGCAATATTTAATACTTCCAAGTTATATTTTCAAATAATTCATCCATGACCTACACTTGTCTATTGTCTTTCAAACTCGTTGCTTCCAAAAGTCATGAGAGATGAGATTCAATGCCTTGTTTATATTTACATGTTAAGCACAGTGAACATTTCTAGAGGTTTTATTGATACTATTAAAGTTACTATATAATACTGAATATAACGTATACTGGGACTAATATTTGCTTGTCTCAATGCTAGGTTTCAACAGTATATTAAACTTAATGGATAGTACGTTATTTTACCGGATATGCACTTTTTAAATATTTCTAGTGAATGCAATCACTTTGATTATAAACTAAAAGAAGCAAAACACTATTGCAACAACAACTTGATATAATTGTAAAAACATGAAAAAATTATAACATTCAAAATGTACAGTATATAATCTGTAATTTCAGTGGAGATAAGATCTGACAGGATATATGTAGTCTTCGTTAATATTCTGAATTAGATTTTATTTTTATATTTTGTGCTTTCATGTTAATTTTTAAGTTTTAGTATTTTTGTTGTGTTTTATGTCACTTTTATTAGTTTTTGTTGCTTTTAAATATGTCTACATAGTTCTTCTTAATTTTTATTTCAGTTTTAGTTATTTAGTGTCAAGTTAAACTAAATGAAAGAGAAATGTTGCCTTAGAAACTAGCTGAAATAAGATTTTATTTCAGTTAACATTTATTTTATTTCAAGTAACAGTCCAGGTAAAACAATCTATGTAACATCAGTGGTTCAACCGTAATTTTACGAAGCTACGAGAATACTTTTTGTGCGTAAAGAAAATCACAGTTGAGCCACTGATGTCACATGGACTGTTTTACCGATCTCCTTACTACCTTTCTGGGCCTGGGAACATGCAGGGTCAGAAAGCTCTCAGATTTCATTAAAAATATCTTAATTTGTGTTCTGAAGTTGAACGAGGGTCATATGGGTTTGGAACGACATGAGGGTGAGTAATTATAATTTAAAATAATTTTATTTTTCTGGGTGAACTATCCCTTTAACTACAACATAACTCTGATCGGTGTCACTGATTACATACTGATTTAGTGACAATGTGCAAGCTATTGCGTCTAACACAATTTTTCAGCAAAACAGAATTATGAGTATTGTGTCACCATTGCCACAAAATCAGAAAAAAAACCCCTTTGAAATTATGGTGGGACTGACTATTGCACAACACAACCATACCAAAGGCCTGCTGATCACATGTTACTGTTGGTGCACTAATACCTGCAACCAAGCGCAAATCAATTGTTTACTGTTTCTCTGGGTTTCCTCCAAGACAAGAGGTTTTACTGAAACTTGATCCATTTCTGACGTTCTCCCTGCATCAGTGTGACAAAGATCACAACTCCAGCAGTCTGAGATCAGTTGCTTAAAACAGACAGTGCAACACGGAAAAATAGCGAGAGATTGAGTACTGAATATTGAAAATGAGTTGAAAACTTACCAAACCATTTTTGTACTCGGGCTTCCCATCAATCATTCTCATGTTCTGGATTCTTTTGAAAAGAAGGAGATATACGTCAGCATTAAATATTAAACACAATTTCTACAGGAAACAAACAGAATCAGCAGGAAGACTTCTAATGTTTTGCGTCTTCTCTTTTAAGTCAGGTGCTATTTAATGGGTGAATCATTTGTTATGTGTAATCTTATCTTTTAGTTTGCATCCAGTTGTTCTTAATGAGAACGGGCCTTTACTGTGATATAAATTTTGGTCTGTTTTTGGTCACCCTCATTCGCTATCATTTCAAATATACAGACTTGTGTATTCTGTGATATCAGCCACCTTTCTCTCTACATATGAGCAGCAGTATTAGTCATTTAAAAAATAAAAAAAACCTTATTTGTCAACTAGCATGAACACATAAGATAAGATACAATATAACAATGAATAATCATGTTCCCTTAGATCAGTTACTGTAGCTTAATAATCAGTCCCAGAATTTACAACCCTAACCAGAAGACAACTGAACAAAACATGCGCGGTCAGTTACCTGCACTCATCATTCCACCAATGTTAGATTTTGATATTTTTGGTACCCAAAGCACACTGATGCACAATTTCTGGGCACAATTCAGCAATATTAATTAATTTAGGGAATGTTTAGATATGTTTCCACAATACTGATACACCTGGCATCAAGCTAGGTCCTTTATACTGTATAAAATTCTGTTCAAATAATTATAATTCTGTATAAAATTCTGTAAACCACATAGCAAATAAATAGCAACATAAACGATATAGCAAAATCTCGAACGATAGCCACTTTATATCATCATCATAATATTGTCATACCACCCTATTTCATAATAGTCTAGTATTAAATCACAGGAATTAGGAAGTGATTGTACCTGGTCTTAACAATGTCTACTGGCATGGAGGCAGCAGTGGTGACAAGTCCACTGATCATACTGGCACAGAAATGACACAGGATATCATCTCTGAAATATCCTGCACAGAACACAGAGCAAGAGAGATGATGAAGTTCACTGCAGCACATTTCAGTTTGATCTTTGTTTTACAACTCACTCATTCAGAAGAACACACATAGAATGATACACCTAATAGGGTAAATAAATAAAAGTTAGCTACCATCTAAATCTGATATTAGCTAAATTTTCTAGAAGGGCTGACAGTACAAGTTTGTGACTGATAAGATAAAAGAAGGCTCATACCAGAGTCCAACAGTGCTTGTTTGGACTGGGAATATGAAGCAAGTTGGGCTGCGTTCACAACAACTGCTCTAGCCATGGTGGGTACGCAACCCTACATGAAAAAGAAAACAATACACATATCATTACGTGTACACAGGGTTTCTGCAGGTTTTATGAAGGTAAATTATAGACTTAAGACAAAGTGAAGAAAATTTATGGGAAAATCTGAAGGGAACACAATGTGTTTTCTCAATGTAAATGTGTACATGACTAGGAAGCACACAGAATCAGTTATATTAGCAAGCCTTAAAAAGTATGAAAATACAACTTCCTTCAAATCTTCATTACTTTTTAATTCATTTCACAAAAACAATAGCTTAAGCTTGAATACCTTTGCTCCAAAGTATCTTCTGATCACACTGCAAAAACTGCTTACTTTTATTGCCTTGTTTTCCAGTTCAAATGTCTAAAAATTCACTTGAAAATCAAAATGACAAGATATGAAGTCTTGTTTTCTGAAAAATATTTGCATCTCAAGTAAATGTATCTTGATTTAAGTATTTTAAGACAAAAAGATTGAAGGAAACTTTTTAAAGTGAATGCAATATTTAATGCCATGACTTTATTAATTTAAGACTTTCAGCTCTGATTTAAGGCCTTTTAAGGCCTTAATTTGTGCAAGGGCTGATTAAGACCCCTTTAAGACCTGCAAAAAACCCATATATAAAGTTTCAGAACAGTAAAGCAAACATACAGGAAAACACACACACACACACCCCCACGGAATTGTAACAATAGTAACGGTAACACACATTACATGTTTACACAAAAACCATGTTCTAATTTAAGCGAACACACACACACACACACACACACACACACACACGCACGCACGCACGCAGATACACGCTTACCCTCCAGAGTGTGGACACTCCCTCCTCCCTAGTAATTCTGATGAGGGCATTGAAGACATTTGTGTAACCCCTCCTTTGATCTGCAGGCAACCTGGACAAGAAAGATAATGGAGGAAAGGATATTTTATTAATTGTTTTATTCGTTTAATAGCAAAAAAACAAGATCATGACAATATTAATATTTAACACAATTAAATATTATTAAGTGTTATTTTGGTATTATTTAAATACCATTATAGTGTTCTTTTGTTAAATTGAAAATATAAAAATAAAAGCTAAATCATCTTAAATTTTAGTTTATGTAATTTTGTGTTTTTGTCATTTGTATTAGTTTTTTTATATATTTATATTTAGCTTTAATTAGTAATTTAGTACTTTAAACTTTAGTTAGTTTGCAAGGCAAGATTTCTAATTTTCTAACATTTTTTGTATTTTTAATCTAATATTTATTTTTTATTTTAGATCGACTGCAATCAACAAAACCATTTTTAATAGTTTTAGTTAACAATAACAATTCATTTTGGCACAATGTATAATCAATAATTCATACTGCGTCCAGTACAAATTCGTTCATGCCCAGCACAAACCAGACACATGACACACACATTAGGCTTGTTCGACTTCATGTGGCGCCGTAAAGATCGGCTGCCGCCTGACAAAAGCAATGCATTCTGGTTAGAACATTTGTCCGACTTTGAACGGCGCTGCAGCCGCCTTACGATCATATGTGCCATCAAAGTACCGCGAGAGCAAAACAAGACCAGCCGCCTAGGTCAGGCGCTGCAGTTGCTCAAAATCGCCTGCGAGAGGCTTGATGACGATACACTTTATTCTCATTGGTTAGATTCTGTGATGACAAGCACGAGGTGTGTTGCGTGTTTATTCTAACAATTCAACTCCAATAATGCTCACAAATCTGTGTTTTTATAACAGTAAAAGCTTTTTTAGTGTAGTCGCACTGTTATCTTGAGTCATGTTTATCAAAAAACACTGATAAAAGCATATATACCCCCACTTTATTGGTATTAGTAGTCTATATGTTTATGTTGAACTTTATTCTTGAACAGATGGCGCTGTATTAAGCAGTATATAAAAGGTGTTTCTGTTGCTCATAAAAACGTTTCTGTGTATTTGACAAATATTTAATTTACTTCACCTGTAATAAGGGTATGCAAACACCGTGAGAGCGTCACTACCGGGAGCAGAAAGTATCCGACTTGACGTCTCTGCTTTTAATTCTACCCCGACTGCAAGCGGCTACTCTTGCCAGCCGGTGGCAGGCTAGTATAGTTCATCTCGAACAAGCCTATTCTAAATCTGGCAACCTGATTGGTTGATGCACTTCTGGTTAGGATGCAAGTACTAAGATCTTATTGGAGTTTGTCTGAAAACAAACTTGTGTTTACAAGGAACCAGGTTGTTAGAACAAGCACTGTTCTAAAGAACTACTAGTGGCTTAAAATCCTATATAGTCTATTTGAGATGCATTTTAGCAAGTTAACTAGATATCCATGTGTAGAACTATGCACTCCTGTTACAGGTAATTTTTTTAATTACAAATTGGTATACGTGTTTATTTTTGGATAGGCCAAAATTCTGATTACAATTTTTTTTTTCCACATCAGTCCATTGTTGTGGTTTCATCCATTTCATGGAAACCTGCCCCTAAAATGGCACAACTTGGTTGGTTGTTCACATTACATGTCAAATAAACGATCTCTCTCTGTCTAAGGGAGCAGTTTTTGGCCAGAATGATACAAAAACCTAGTGTTTCACAAGTCTATAAGGACACGTCTTCAGAATTATCCTAAGACTGTCTTAAAGCAGCAGTGTTTGGTTAATTTTGTCTATTTTACAATTACAAACTATTAGTAAGAATGCTAAATATGGAGTGTAGTTATATTCTTCTACCTCCCATCAGCCGTCATTCGAATAAGTGCCACCTCAGCTGGAGTCCCAACAAACGCCCCCGTGGCCCCAGCAGTCATTCCTATTAAAGCCTTCATGAAGAAGTTAGGAGGTGTGCCGTCTGCTTTGGACATGCGCTCAAACAGGACCGTGTAGATGCCCAAACGGGTCGTGGTATAGGTAGCCTGCCTCAACAGACCCGCAGAAAGCCTACAATGAAAAACATGGGAGAGAAGACAACAAAGGCGTGAAAACAATAAATGTGCCATCAGACAATAACGAGATCAGATATAAACCTAATCAGATATTTACTGCTTGTGTAAGGCTATGGGCTCCATCTACAGTCACTCAGTAAGCATTCAGCTGTACTTGGACTGCAGTAAAACATTCCTGCCTTCTGAAAAAGTCGACCCCTCTATCTACAACGCCTGCGTCAGTGTGGTGTGCCTCTCTTTCTTACCCGGTGTAGATACCGCGGATGCCCTCGTTGCGAAGGATGCTGGTCACAGCATGGAAGCTGGTCTTGTATTCGCGAGCCTTGGAGCCCTGACCGCTCAACTGCATTCGGTTCTTCACCAGGTCTAGCGGCTGCACAAACACTGTGGCGCCCATCCTGGAAGTCAGAACAAATGTGTATTAGTAAAATCATTTATTTAAAGTCTTGTGTTAATCCTGAAGGAATCCTATTCATGTTAGCATCAAAATTTGGAACCAATCCTAAAGAAACATACACTGAAAAAAATACTTTCAGACTATTTTCACTCATAAAACGCTAGTAAATTTCACGAATAATTACAAAGAAATGCCAAGTAGCACACTAAATTAAATGTGAAATTCTGAAGTGGAAAGACTGTAATAGTATTTTCTTGTAAAACATACTCCAATAATCTTTTTTTTTGTGTGTGTGTAATATGAATTTTCCAAATTATACCCAATAACGGGGAAAACAATAAAACTGAAATTTTAAAAAGAATCATAAAAGTAAAAAAATCTAGGAAGGAGACATTAAATCCTGTAGGAATGAAAATTTTTCCTGTATGACCTAATTAGAAATATAATTTAATCACATCAAGATCCTTTAAGACTATTTCCAGATGATGATTAAAATGATTTTATAATAATAACATGAGTGCTGCACACATCCTTTGAGAATATACTGACTAAGGATCACACACAGTACCTAGTTACCAGTTTCTTTAACAAATGTCACATCAAATGAACTTCCTTTTAAACTAGTGCATTTATGGTGTCCATTGGCTCAGTTTAAACACATGTAAGAGTATTACGCCTTTAACTTCTACATGCAAGGACAACCTGTATATGAAATAGAATTGATGTACAGGTCTTATGTTTGTTTCAGAGTCCATGTGTTAAAGTCCTGTCTTACATGTCAAAATTATTATTATACTTTTTCATATATTTTCTTAGATTTAAAAATGTCCCCATAAATATTAAATGGTTTATGTTTAGATTATTAGTTTTAAAAATTAAGTATTATTTTAAGGATGGAATTCAATTATTAAAAATTACTTTTTCAATCATAACACCTATAAGTCCACAGAATATGCATATTCCTAAAGAATTTTTCATTTGGATTAATTCAAATTGAATTTAAATAATTTTTAAAAAGGCTCAATTTAAAGATGTTTCTGGATACACTAGTGAGTTATGGCTACTTTTTCCATAAATTCACTTGAACAGACCTCTCACACAAGTTTAATTACACAAAAACCATGTTCTAATATACAATATATTCTATATTCTATCGAACAAGTCCGGTCAAAATTAGATGAGAGTGGGGTTGTGGGTGCTGTGTTTCTTGATTTACAAAAGGCATTTGACACACTTAATTATAATATCCTATTATCAAAATTATTACATTTTAACTTTTGTTTAGATAAAATAAAATGGATTGAGTCTTTTCTTACATCAAACAGTGTACCCACATTAAACATATATCTTCTTTAAGAGATTGTTCCACAGGGGTTCCTCAGGGGTCAACCCTAGGGCCCCTACCTTTCAGTTTGTACTTGAATGAATTCCCAGATATTTGTCCTGATGTACATATTCAAATATACACAGATGACACTGTGATTTATGTACATGACAAAACAAATGAACAGGTGGCACACAAATCTGTTTCAATGTCAAACATTTTAGACTGGCTTATTCAGTGTTGTTTAACATTAATTGTTCGGAAAACTGCCTGTATGTATTTTAAAATAAAAAAGGAGGAGAAGGTCTAACCTAAAATATTTGTTAATGGTGAAAAATTATAAACTGTGCCAGATTTTAAATATTCTGGATTTATTTAAGACCAGGGCTGGGCAACTTTGGTCCAGGAGGGCCACTGTCCTGCAAAGTTTAGCTCCAACCCTAATTAAACACCCTCCAGGACCATAGTTGTCCAGCCCTGCTTTAAACTCTGATTTAACATTTGAAAAGTAAGTTCACAAAATAGTTTGTGCAGTGACTCCTCGACTTAGAAATGTAAAATTTATATGGAGTCATCTTTCAATAGAAGCTGCGAGAGTCTTTTTGCATTCTTTGATCTTTTCTCATTTCTACTGTTGTATTACTTCATGGTCACAAGCAGAAAAAATCTACTCTTAGGTCTTTATTAAAGGTATTTGACAAGAAACCTAATAGACATCAAGTTTAATTACACAAAAACCATGTTCTAATATACAATATATATGCACTACAAGAGATTTCTATCATTTTTGTCATTTCAACAAATGTGAGCTGCTCATTATGTAATGGCACTTTATGATAAATCAGATTTTGTCTAACTAAAACTAATTTTATAGTTTTTTTTTTTTTTAATTATCTTGTAAATTAAATCATATGGACGCTTTTCACATTTCAAGGGTTCTCAGAAGCAGAGACCATCATAAAAAACTGAAGTAGTGGTAAATAAGAAACCAGAGACATTTTATATTATGTTCCTATTTGCAACAAAAGCACAAGAAAAATCCACTATTGTTTTTTCGTAACTTATAAAAAGATAAAGAAAGATTAATTACTGCAGTCAGAGGAGAGAAATTAGCTGTCACTCTGTCTTAGAAAGCCACAATTTTCTTTTTATAATTTAATGTTAGTTATTATATAAGATAATACAAGAAAACATGAAAAAATGCAAATGCTGTATTTATGCAATGTGTAAAAATGCTATGTTTATTATGTTAATTAATTATAGTAAAATGCGCCATCACAGTCTGTGATTTTCACTTTTTTTTTTTAGACAATTTGACAAAAAAGTTGGAAATGTGTTCACAAGTGATATTAATTTTTTTTTTATTACACATGTCATATCAAGCTTGCTCTTCACTGAACCTGTCACTGTTGTTTCCTTGGAGCTTTTTGTAACTGTACAAGTGCCCAAATTGTTGCTGGTGGAACCCACTACTGAAGAACAGCAGTTATGTGTGTAAACAAATTACATTAAAACTTTACTCATAATAAATATTGAAATGGTTTATGCACACTTTGTTCAGATTATATCAGTTTTATATTTGTATTATTAGTTTAAGGATATAATGACATATGAAACGGTCTAAGACACGAGTTAAAAAACAAATCTAAATATTATAGCCATTTGAAAAGTAGCAAAAAAAAAATCTCCAGACCTACAGAGTTTAGGAATAAATTCTAACAGGAATGCCTCAGTGGCAGCAGATCAAACCCATGCACCGTGACATTTAAACTGAAGTTCAGATTGTCACGGGGTTACCAGGCTTCCTCTGGGCCTGCAAATTCATTCACAACAGAACTGACAGAAAGAGTAAAGAAAATTCATAACACTACATAAACGCTTTTTGCTGGTCCTCTTATCGATAGTTCGCCTAGCGGATAACTAATGGCCCTTATCAATAACCTCCTATCAAATTGGTCATTCAGGTGAAGCCCATGCAGCAGAGAGCGCCGCAGCATACATGGGCGGATACGTACCCAGCCAAGCCACCGAAGAGAAACTTAATAGATTTGGGCGAGGTTTTGGGCCTGGGTTTGGCCGTGTCCGCTGCGGCTGCCATGGCTGCAGTGCTGGTTCGGGTTTCTGGAGGACACCTTCGCTTCTGCCGCTCCGCTGATATACGGCTGCTACTGTGTACAGCAAGGTGACTCGCCTGGACTGCGCACGTCAAGCGGAACACGCCTGGACCAATCACATACGAGTTTTCAGTCGCGGTGCCGAGCACGTAAGTGACGTGTGAGTTCTCGTGTAATTTCCCTTAAAGAGACAGACACGTCTTTTATATTGAACGGTGAACTATTCAAAATAGACAATTCACTCAAATCTATTGCAGAAGGCTATTTTAAAGATTGTCAGTGTCAGTGTAACGTAACAGATCAAGAGGTGAAGCATCCTATATACAGCGTTACTTTTGTAACTTTTCTCAGCATAGCTCACAACGGACCAATCACAATCGTCTGTGATCACTGGCTATATACTTTTCTTACACTTTATAGTGATTCCTACCATGTGTTGATTTCCATTTTATGTCAGGCACCAGTCCTTGGTATTTAATAATGGATTTAAACGATTATATTTCCAAGCCTACAAATGTCTCCAGTAAGACAACGTCCTGAGTGCGGCTCCGTAGAGGATTCGGGTTTCTTAGCTGTAATGCGCCCTCTTGAGGTGATAATAAAAAGTGTGACCATCCAAAACAGTGTCCTTATCGAATTGTATTGATTTGCTTACTATGTGATTATCATTAAAGACACCTTAACTCATTACTGTGTACTGTGTTTTCAATGACTACCTTTTTTTCAGTGTCAATGCTGACGTTAAGATATTGTCCAGATCAACAGGTGCAAACCACTGCTGAACTGCCTATACCTTAATTTTGTAACTTTTC